ACTTTCAAGTCACTGCAATTTGAAGTTGCACAGATATGAATGGTACTCATTGGAAAACATGTGGTGCGACTTGTCATGCGACTTTGGACCCAAAAGTCGCATGACAAGTCGCATCACGTTTCCCAACACTCTGTACATTACACACTCCCCCTGCAGACCCCTGCACTCTGCGCATTACACACTCCTGACCCCTACACTCTGTACATTACACACTCCTGACCCCTACACTCTGTACATTACACACTCCTGACCCCTGCACTCTGTACATTACACACTCCTGACCCCTGCACTCTGTACATTACACACTCCTGACCCCTGCACACTCTGTACATTACACACTCCTGACCCCTACACTCTGTACATTACACACTCCTTACCCCTACACTCTGTACATTACACACTCCTGACCCCTACACTCTGCGCATTACACACTCCTGACCCCTGCACTATACGCATTTCGCACTTCTGACCCCTGAACTCTGCACATTAAACACTCCTGAGCCCTGCACTCTAAGCATTACACACTTCTGACCCCTGAACACTACACATTACACACTCCTGACCCCTGAATACTACACGTTACTCACTTCTGACCCCTGAACACTATGCATTACACACTCCTGATCCCTGGAAGGGTTACAGAATCGCAGCAGCAGAGAAGAATGCTGTCTCCTGCCCCGCCAGGCAAGTCTGTGCCATGTCAACCTTCCATGCTCATTCACACGTCGCATTGCTGTGTGCTTTACCTCGAAACGCGTCCAATAGGTCAGTGCGATGTGTTGCCTTGCGACCGACGCGCATACCAGTACAGCGAAGATATGCGACAAGGCACATAAGTGAGTGCAAAAACATTTTGGCAGCACTATTGGCACTAACCTGTTGAAAAGCTGCCATTCAAATGAATGCAATCGCATTACCGTGCCAGACCGTGCTTTACCACACCTTACCACGCCTTACCGCGCCTTACTGCGCCTTACCAGCGTCTTACTGTGCCAGACCGCTCCACCAGAGCATGTGTGTATAAGCGAGCCCACAAATTGTCCGGCAGGTAAAAGTCGTGCGTTTTAGAAGGAAATTCCCGGCACATTTATTATCGGCGCACTTCCTTATACCGCGCTATTGTTCTATTGAATGGCTTTTGTTGTTCTCATTGTAACATGTTTCAGGCAGGGAGACCTCTAGGCGGCTCTATGGGGAACTGAAACAATGTCAGCTCTTCAGAAGAAGCAATGATCTGCGATTCCCACCCTACCACACCCCATGCGGCGTGCGACATCCTTCTACCGCCATCCCTAAACCTCATCAGTGGCTCTATTCACACTTGTGCGACTCGTCATGCGACTTTGGACACATAAAGTCGCAGCCTGTGTATTTCAATAGAAAAACAGTTCAAATCAATGCGACTTAAAGTTGTAGCGACTTTAGGAAGGTTCCTGCGCTACTTTGTTGCGACTATAATGAGACGTGAGTGCCATAGACTGCAATGTAAACTCTCAAAAAGTTGCATGAGAGTCCAATCTTAATGTTACCAATGCGACAGTTGTGCAACAGTCAAAGTCACATCCAAGCCACACCCACATCCAAAGTTGCATCAAAGTCACATCCACATCCAAAGTTGCATCAAAGTCGCATCAAAGCCACACACACATCCAAAGTTGCATCAAAGTCACATCCACATCCAAAGTTGCATCAAAGTCGTATCCAAGCCACACACACATCCAAAGTTGCATCAAAGTCGCATCCAAGCCACACACACACCCAAAGTCGCATCCAAGCCACACCCACATCCAAAGTTTCATCAAAGTCGCATCTAAGCCACACACACACCCCAAAGTCGCATCCAAGCCACACCCACATCCAAAGTTTCATCAAAGTCGCATCTAAGCCACACACACACCCAAAGTCGCATCCAAGCCACACCCACATCCAAAGTTTCATCAAAGTCGCATCTAAGCCACACACACACCCAAAGTCGCATCAAAGTCGCATCCAAGCCACACCCACATCCAAAGTTGCATCCAGGCCACACCCACATCCAAAGTTGCATCAAAGTCGCATATAAGCCACACACACATACAAAGTTGCATCAAAGCACATCCAAGTCACATCCAAGCCACACCCACATCCAAAGTTGCATCAAAGTCGCAATGGAAATTGCAGGTGCCTTAACAATCCATTAACAAATGTATTACATAAAGAGGGGGTTTTTACCTGCTGTAATCTCTGTCCATCCAAGCGTGAGATTTACACAGCTCTGCCATACAGCACAGCCCTGCCCGGCATGGAGGAGACCTGATTTTTTTGTTCAGCTGCAGATCAGTAACACTTTCAAATCCCTCCCTCAGCCTGTGATTGGACAGTGGAAGAAGAAGCAGCACAGCGATTAACACATCTTTGTCCCTCTGCTCTCTCCTCCTATCAGCATGCTTCATGAACTGATTGTCTCCTTGTGCTGCTTCTCCTTCCCCCAGTCTAAGCTCTGCTGTACAAAGACTAGAAGAGGCTGATACCGATTCATGTTCAGGGACTTGCACTGCTTACATTTATAAAGACTTAATGCTGTATTACCAATCACAGAGCTGCATTCGCCCCAATTCACGCTGCTGCGATTTACCATGCAACTTGCCACACAGAAAGTTGCATGACAAGTCAAAACACATTCATTTCAATGGGTTGCCATCTTAATCAATGCGACAACAAAAAAAAGATTCCGGCACCACTTTTTTTGCGACTTGAGTGCCATAGACTGCAAAGAAAATATATATATATATATGTGTGTGTAGATAGATAGATGAGAGAGAGAGAGAGAGAGAGGGGGGGGGGGGGGGAGGGTGAGAGAGAGAGCGAGGGGGGAGGGGGGGAGAGGGGGGAGGGGGAGAGAGAGAGGGGGGGAGGGCAGGAGGATGAGGGAGGGGGGGGAGGGGGGAGAGGGGGGGGGAGGGGGAGAGAGAGAGAGGGGGGGGGAGGGGGGAGAGAGGGGGGGGGGAGGGGGAGAGAGAGAGAGAGGGGGGAGGGGGAGAGAGAGAGGGGGAAGGGGAGGGAGAGGAGGGAGAGGGAGAGGGAGGGGGGAGAGGGAGTAGAGAGAGAGGGGGGGGGGAGAGAGGGGGGAGAGGGGGGGGAGAGAGGGAGAGAGATAGATAGATAGATAGATAGATAGATAGATAGATAGATAGATAGATAGATAGATAGATAGATAGATAGATAGATAATAGATAGATGATTATAGATAGATAGATAGATAGATAGATAGATAGATAGATAGATAGATAGATAGATAGATAGATAGATAGATAGATAGATAGATAGATAGATAGATAGATATAGATAGATAGATAGATAGATAGATAGATAGATAGATAGATAGATAGATAGATAGATAGATAGATAGATAGATAGATAGATAGATAGATAGATAGATAGATAGATAGATAGATAGATAGATAGATAATAGATAGATAGAGATAGATAAGATAGATAGATAGATAATAGATAGATAGATAGATAGATAGATAGATAATAGATAGATAGATAGATAGATAGATAGATAGATATAGATAGATAGATAGATAGATAGATAGATAGATAGATAGATAGATAGATATAGATAGATAGATAGATAGATAGATATAGATAGATAGATAGATAGATAGATAGATAATAGATAGATAGATAGATAGATAGATAGATAGATAGATAGATAGATAGATAGATAGATAGATAGATAGATAGATAGATAGATAGATAGATAGATAGATAGATAGATAGATAGATAGATAGATAGATAGAGATAGATAGATAGATAGATAATAGATAGATAGATAGATAGATAGATAGATAGATAGATAGATAGATAGATAGATAGATAGATAGATAGATAGATAATAGATAGATAGATAGATAGATAGATAATAGATAATAGATAGATAGATAGATAATAGATAGATAGATAGATAGATAGATAGATAGATAGATAGATAGATAGATAGAGAGATAATAGATAGATAGATAGATAGATAGATAGATAGATAGATAATAGATAGATAGATAGAGAGATAGATAATAGATAGATAGATAATAGATAGATAGATAGATAGATAGATAGATTATAGATAGATAGATAGATAGATTATAGATAGATGACAGACAGACAGAGAGAGAAATAAATTATAGAAAATGTATATATATGTGTGTATGTATGTAAAAAAAAAAAAAAAATATATATATATATATATATATATATATATATATGTATATAGTATGTGTGTGTAAAAAAAAAATTATATGTCTGTGTGTGTGTGTAAAAATTATATATATATATATATATATATATATATATATATATATATATATATAAATAAAAAACATACATTTTTCTTGGGTGAAATGTATGTTTGGGCCCCTTCACACCATGTCTGTTGTGACTACTCACGTTCGATTGCCAATGTTATCTTACCTGATCTAATTTATACCTTTTTTGTTTCTTTGCCTTGTGCTGCTCAACACCAAGGGGTCTATTTATATAAAAAATAAAAAAGTGCTGTACGGACGCGACAAACATTATCACAGCCAAAAGAAAAAAATTACAGTATTTGATGTAATATGACTGTATCCTATGAATGTCAGCACCATCTGCTGGCCGTAATGCTGTATTTTTCCTGATTTGAGGTATTTCAGGAAAAATACCCCATTATGGCCATTAGATGGTGCTAACAATCATAGGAAATAATCTCAGTGCAAAAAAAATGAGGATTTTTTTATTGCGGCTGATTGTTACAGCAAATTTAGTTTCATAAATAGACCCTCAGGTTATATTACCTCTGACTGTATAGTGTGCATTGTATACATTGTAATGCAAAATTACAGAAATACTGAAAGACAGCGCACTGCATCGCGGTATCAGAAACAACTATCATTTTTTTTTTAATGAAATATTATTTTCATCCTGAATAGTATGGGCCGAGGTTTACCCTGAATTATTGTTCATTTGTCTTCTTTTTCAGGTGTCCTTCCTGTGGGTTTTCCCCAGTGCCGATCAGGCCTTCGATATCCCTCTTCCAAATGCTCTGCTGATCCACGGGGAGCCCATGGGCTTCAACACATCTTCCCATAGACAGAAAAGATCGGAGAAGGAGAATGTCACCGCCTGCAGCAGTCATGAGTATAAACCAAGGAGACAAAACCACTGCTGCAACAAATGCCTGCCGGGTACGGGGTTATGTTTTAGTTATTTTTAAGGACTCCTTTATTTCACTTATTACCCAAAATCAGGTTGTTTTCTCAGAGAATAGGTGCAGGAGCTCCCCTCTTCTGGATCACCCCTTGTCTCCGCCCCCTACCCACCTCTGAGAACTGCCCCTTGGTTCCACCTCCTACTCACCTCCCAGCATCATCCCTTGGTTCCACCCCCTACCCTACTCCGAGCACCGCCTCTTGGTTCCACCTCCTACCCACCTCCCAGCATCATCCCTTGGTTCCACCCCCAACCTACCTCCAAGCACCCTCCCTTGGTTCCACTCCCTACCCACCTCCGAGCACCGCCTCTTGGTTCCACCTCCTACCCACCTCCGAGCACCAGCCCTTGGTTCCCTCCCCTACGCACCTCTGAGCACCGCCCCTTGGTTCCACCCTCTACCCACCTCTGAGCACCGCTCCTTGGTTCCACCTCCTACCCACCTCCGAGCACCAGCCCTTGGTTCCACTCCCTACCCACCTCCGAGCACCGCCTCTTGGTTCCACCTCCTACCCACCTCCGAGCACCAGCCCTTGGTTCCCTCCCCTACACACCTCTGAGCACCGCCCCTTGGTTCCACCCCCTACCCACCTCTGAGAACCATCCCTTGGTTCCACCCCCTACCCACCTCCGAGCACTACGCCTTGGTTCCATCCCCAACCTACCTCCAAGCACCACTCCTTGGTTCCACCCCCTACTCACCTCCAAGCACCACCCCTTGGTTCCACCTACAAACACCGCCCCTTGGTTCCACCCCCTACCCACCTCCGATCACCGCCCCTTGGTTCCACCTCCTACCCACCTTCAAGCACAACCCCCTGGTTCCTCCCTCTACCCACCACTGAGCACCATCCCGTGGTTCCACCCCCTACCCACCTCCAAGCACTTCCCCATGGTTCCTCCTCCAACCCTCGCCCCATGGTGCCACCCCCTACCCACCTCCGAACACCACCTCTTGGTTCCACCCCCTACCTACCTCCAAGCTCCACCCCTTGGTTCCACCCCCTACCCACCTCCGAGCACTACTCCTTGTTTCCACCCCCTACCCACCTCCGAGCACCGCCCCTTGGTTCCACCCCCTACCCACCTTCAAGCACAGCCCCTTTGTTCCACCCCCTACACACCACTGAGAACCATCCCTTGGTTCCACCCCCTACCCATCTCCAAGCACTGCCCCATGGTTCCACCCCCTAACCACCTCCCAGCCTCGCCCCTTGGTGCCACCCCCTACCCACCTCCAAACAACACCTCTTGGTTCCACCCCCTAACTACCTCTGAGAACCACCCCTTGGTTCCACCCCCTTACCCACCTCTGAGCACCACTCCTTGTTTCCACCCCCTACCCACCTCCGAGCACCACCCCTTGGCTCCACCCCCTACCCACCTCCAAGCACCACCCCTTAGTTCCACCCCCTATCCACCTCCCAGTACCACTCCTTTTAGTGAATACAGGACCAAGTATTGTTTTGTGGTGCTAAATAATTTGTATGGAATGTGTTAATGATAACAAGGAAAGCAGTAAAATAGATCCCCAGCAGCCAACAGTAACAAATATCCCCAGAAACAAAATACCACCCCTCAGCAACAATAGATCCCCCACATCAAAATACCATCCCAGCAACAATTGACACCAGCAGCAAAAACAGATCTCCAAGCAGCCAGCATCAATAGACCTTGACTTCAACAGTAGACGCCTCCCAGCATAACGGATTCACCACAGAAAAGTATATCCCCCACCAGCAACAATAGAACTGCCTAGCAACAGTAGGCTTCAATGTAAAAACAGATACCCTCCATGGACAATAGATCCACCAGCAGGTAGCATCAACAGGCCCTCCAGTACTCCTTGCCATTACATACATTCAGTGATGGAGGTGCCGGAACTGCTTTCCCCCACTTTCCTGCTGAAAAAAAGCTCTGGTAGTGCTAAGTAATTTGTATGGAATTAATTGCCCTGTGGCCAGCAACAATAGACCCCTCACCAGCAGCAATAGACCCCCAGCAGCAACAACAGATCTCCAGGCAGCCAGCATCAATAGACCTTTCTTTCAACAGTAGATCTCTTCAGCAACAACTGACTCACCAGCAATAATAGATTTCCAATGCAAAAATATATCCCCCATGAGTAACAATAGAACTCCCCAGCAACATTGGCTTCCATACAAAAATAGATTCCCAGCCATGACAATAGATCGCCCAGCAGACTGATCAGCACACCCCAGCACTCCTTGCCATTGCATACATCAGTGCTGGAGGTGCCAGAACTGCGTTCTTGAAGTTCCTGAACAATAGACCCCCGGCAGTAACAACAGATTTCTCTGCAGTCAGCATCAACAGACCTCTCCTTCAACAATAGATCCCTTCCAGTCAGCATCAACAGACCCTCCTGCACACCCCAGCACCCTTTGCCATTACATACATCAGTGCTGGAGGTACTGGAACCGTGTTTACCCGCATGCCTGATGAAAAAAAGCCCTGCCCCCTATGCACCTCCCAGTACCTCCCCTTTTAGTGAATACAGAACCAAGTATCATTTTGTGGTGCTAATAATTTCTATTGAATTTGTTAATGATAACAAGAAAAGCAGTAAAATTGATCCCCTGCAGCCAGCAACAATAGATCCCCCATCAGCAGCAATAGATTCTCCACAACAATAAACCCCTCGGCAACAAAATACCACTCCAGCAACAATAGACCCCCCAGCAGTAACAACAGAATTCCCTGCAGCCAGCATCACTAGACATCTCCCTCAACAATAGACCTGTCCCTCAACAATAGATCCCTCCCAGCAACAATAGATTCCCCACCTGCAACAATAGACCTCCCTGGCCCATGCAAATATAGATCCCCTCCAGCAACAATAAACCCCCAGCAGCAACAACAGAATTCCTTGCAGCCAGCATCAATAGACCTCTCCCTCAACAATAGATTCCTCCCAGCAACAACAGATTCCCCACCAGCAATAATAGACCTCCCTGGCCCAAGCAAAAATAGATCCCCTCCAGCAACAACAGACCCCCCAGCAGCAACAACAGAATTCCCTGCAGACAGCATCACTAGACATCTCCCTCAACAATAGACCTGTCCCTCAACAATAGATCCCTCCCAGCAACAATAGATTCCCCACCTGCAACAATAGACCTCCCTGGCCCATGCAAATATAGATCCCCTTCAGCAACAATAAACCCCCAGCAGCAACAACAGAATTCCTTGCAGCCAGCATCAATAGACCTATCCCTCAACAATAGATTCCTCCCAGCAACAACAGATTCCCCACCAGCAATAATAGACCTCCCTGGCCCAAGCAAATAGATCCCCTCCAGCAACAACAGACGCCCCCCCCCCCCCCCCCCCCCAGCAACAACAGAATTCCCTGCAGCCAGCATCAGTAGACCTCTCCCTCAACAATAGATCCCTCCCAGCAACAACATATTCCCCACCAGCAATAGACCTCCCTGGCCCATGCAAAAATAGATCCCTCCCAGCAACAATAAACCCCCAGCACCAACAACAGAATTCCCTGCAGCCAGCATCAGTAGACCTCCCTGGCAACAATAGATCCCCATATAAATATAGATTCCCTCCAGCGACAATAGATCCCCCGAGCAGCCAGCATCAATAGACCCTCTAGCACACCCCAGGACCCCTTGCCATTACATAAATTCAGTGCTGGAGGTGCTGGAAATGCGTTTCCCCGCGTTCCTACCTAAAATAGCAATGAGCCCAGCACGGTCCCAAGCTCCGCCCAACTAAAATGGCGATGTTTGCGTTGGCCATCGGTATCCTTTCTTCTATTCAAAGCTAGAAATCATAATTCTAACTATGCAAACACCTTAGATAAAAGAAACCTCAGGATCACTTGCAAGTCACAAGGCAGATCAGGTGTTGCGCACCCTTCAGGGATACAAATAAAGTTGTTGTTGTTTTTTTCCGTGGGAATCTAAACAATCCATTTTTAGAAGAACTTTAAGGACCAGTTCACACTACATTTTTTTTTTTTTCTTTAAGTCCGGGGAAGTGCGAAAAACAAAAAACCCGTAAGTGAACAAAAAAGTGCTAGTGTAAAACCAACACAAAAAAGTGCACTTAGGGGTGTGCTTTGTCCACCCCCCCGAAGGGGTAAGACCTCTACCCTGATCCCCCCGGGGCGCGAATCGGCCGATTTTCGGATCGTTAGTGGGTGAATTTGTCGGCCGTGTTTCGTGATTTTGACACTTTTTTTTTGTCGGTGATGTTGGAAAAAAAATTGGCCAATTTTGTCGTTCAGCCGATTTTCGCGGCAATGATGGACAAATTGGCTGATCTTTTTAACGATTTTAAAAAGAAGAAGGAAAAGAAGAAATAGAATATGAATAAGAGGAAATAGAAGAAATAGAATATGAATAAAGAAGAAAAAGAAGCAATAGAATATGAAGAAAGAAAAGAAAGAATAGAAGAAATAGAAGAATGAAGAAAGAAGAAATAGAAGAAATAGAAAAACAAATAAATAAGAAGGAATAGAAGAAATAGAAATGAATAAAATAAAAAATAATAAGAAGAAATAGAATATGAATAATAATAAGAAGAAATAAATATGAATAAAGAAGAATAGAAGAAATAGAATAAGAAAAAGAAGAAATAGAATATATGAATAAGAAGAAATAGTAGAAATAAAGAAAATAATATGAATATGAAAGTAATAAGAAGAAATAGAAGAAATAGAATATGAATAATAGGAAGAAAAATAGAATCTGAATAAAAGAAGAAATAGAAGAAATCTGAATATAAAAAAGAAGAAATAGAAGAAATAGAATATGAATAATAAGAAGAAATAGAATATGAATAAAGAAGAAATAGAAGAAATAGAATATGAATAATAAGAAGAAATAGAAAATAGATGAATAAATATGAATAATAAGAAATAGAATATGAATAAAGAAGAAATAGAATAAAATAGAAATAGAAAAAAGAAGAAGAAAAAAGAATCTGAAATAAAGCAGAAATAGAAGAAATAGAAGGAATATGAATAATAAAGAAGAAATTGAAATAGAAAAAGAATAATGAATAATAAGAAATAAATAGAATATGAATAAAGAAGAGAATAGAAGAAATAGAATATGAATAAGAAAGAAGAAAAAAGAAGAAAAAATGAAAAAAAGAAGTCCGCTATTATATTTGACATTTAAAAGTATTGCAGTTGCAACATTGTATCTATTTGTAGCCGAATAGAACCATCTGTACCCGAAAATGGATACAAATAGATACAATTGTTGCAACTTCGCTATACTTTAAATGTCAAATACAATAGCGGAGCTCTCTGCAGGGACACCGCTATTATATTTGCCGGCCGTAGACGGGACGAAAAATCAGCCGACTTTTTTATACCAATGGTGGTTATGTCGGCCGATTGAACGACCGATTTTTCATTTTTCTAAAAAATAAACGGCTGGTTTTCTCCCCCCGTCTATGGCCTGCATAAGGTTTTCCACATGGTCCGCCTAACCAAAAGGCCTGGAGGACCCCTTTCCTTGTGGCTAGCCGGAAGCCAGCCACCAAGTACTAGGTCAGGGGGCTCTCCCGAAGAGAGACCCCCCTTAGGGACAGGGGAGGAAGGAACCAAAAGGCCATTCATCCTCCCCCCAGACTTCAGGGTAGGCCCACACCCTACTATCTGTGAGTTAAAAAAAAACACACACATAAGTGAAAAGTGATACAAACGTGGGAGAAAAAAATAGATTAAATAAATATATAAGTAAAAATAAAAGTGGTCATGCAATTGTGCGCTGGCTTGGCCCTGAGGCCTGTAGACCAGTTCACACTTCATGCTCTGACTGAGCCAGAGGCATGCCAGAACTCTGCAGAGAGACCGCTGCTTCCACACAAGGGTGGATAAACAATGTCTGTCTATGTCTTCCAGGTTATATTGTGGCCAGGGACTGCAGCGGATCTAGTCAGGCCACGCTGTGTGTCCATTGTAAAAGTGGAACCTACATGGACATTCCAAACAATTCCAAGCGTTGCGAGGCGTGCAGCTCTTGTCTAACACGTAAGTACAGCCGTCTCCTCTCTTCTGTAGCGGTGGGTAATGATACGTACAAGTGCCGGCCGGCTCATATTTATAATATTGACATTCAAAATGGAATAATGACGTGGACGAAGTTTTAGATATGTTTGCATGTTTACGTGTATGTCCACCCCAACGAGGAACGTCTCCTGTTGGGTTCATTTTGGTCAGATTAATATACAATTGGAAGGGTTTTGTTAGATCAGTTCAATAAGTGCCAAGAAATACCCTGTTGATCCTGCAAGAAATCTTGTCAGTCGACAACTCTCTGTGCTATCTGCCTGTGCTGAAGGAGGAGTTATGGAGATGAGGAGGAGTTATGGAGATGAGAAGGCGCTATGAAGCTAAGTAGGGCTTATAGTGTTTAGGAGGAGCTATGGATATAAGGAGGAGTTATGGAGATGAGGAGGAGAGCTATGAAGATAAGGAAGGGTTACTGAGATAAGGAGGAGCTATGGAGATGAAAATGAGAGGGGAGGAGACAAGAAGTTATGGAGATGAGGAGGAGTTATGGACATGGGGAGGAGTTATGGAGATGAGAAGGCGCTATAAAGCTAAGGAGGGGTTATAGAGGTTAGGAGGAGCTATGGAGATGAAAATGAGAAGGGAGGAGACAAGAAGAAGTTATGGCAATGAGGAAGAGTTATGGAGATGGAAAGGAGTTATGAAGATGAGAGTTGGTTGTGGAGATGAGGAGGATTGAAGATAAGAAGGGGCAATGGAGACGTGGCTTTGTTATGGAAATGAGGAAGAGTTATGGAAATGAGAAGGAGCTAAAAAATGGTTATGGAGATGAGGAGTAGTTATGAAGATTAGAAGGAGCTATGGAGATGAGAAGGAGAGGGAGGAGATGAGAAGACGTTATGGAGATGAGGAGTAGTTATGGAGATGAAGCTTGGTTTGGAGATGAGAAGGAAGAGGGCAAGGAGATGAGGCTTGGTTATGGAGATGAGGAGAGGTTATTAAAATAAGGAGAAGCTATGGAGATGAGGAGGAATTATGGAGATGAGGAGAGGTTATTAAAATAAGGAGAAGCTATGTAGATGAGGACTAATTATGGAGATGAGGAGAGGTTATTAAAATAAGGAGAAGCTATGTAGATGAGGACTAATTATGGAGATGAGGAGAGGTTATTAAAATAAGGAGAAGCTATGGAGATGAGGAGGAGACAAGTTATGGTGATGAGGAGGGGATATGGAGATGAATTGGGGTAATGGAGATGAATTGGAAGAAGGGGAGGAAATGATAAGAAGTTATGCAGATAAGGAAGGGATATGGAGATTAGGAGAAGTTATGGAGATGAGGAATGGTTATGCAGATAAGAAGGAGTTACAGAGATAAGGGGGACTAGGGGGAAGAGATGAAGAGGAGTTATGGAGATAAGGAGGTAAAAGGGGAGGAAATGAGAAGGAGTTATGGAGGAGTTATGGATGTAAGAATGCATTAGGGAGATGAGGAGAGGTCATTGAGATGTTAGGGAGATGAGGAGGAGGTATGGAAACATGGAGAAGTTATGGATGTAAGAAGGCATTCTGGAGATGAGGAAGGTTATGGAGATGAAGTTACAAAAATGAGGAGTTATGGAGATGAGGATGTCTGTGTTCTTTGTTTTTTATTCATTTGGATCGGTTGTAGATCCTGCCCTTTTTGCACCCCCATCCTGATGAAGACCCCAGGTGGTCGCTTTGTCTGCCCACCCCATGGTTTGGCCCTGGTACTTCATTTCTATCAGGATCTTTAATATGTCAGTAAATCAGAGAATTTTTTTACATTTCAGAATACGGTCAGATTGTGCTGTCTGCGTGCACCATGGAGAAGAACACTCAATGCGGGTGCCCTGAGGGTCAGTTCAAGAAACACAGTGGCCTTGACTTCATATGCCAGGAGTGCACCACATGCCAGAATGGGACCCAGGCCTTTAAGTGTAAGTTATCTCCCTGCATATGGCCATTGAAATGCCTTGCTTAACTGCAAGGTGCAATGATACAAATTTACATGTCTGCTAAAAGTAGAGCTTCAGTCAAAAAAAAAAAAAGTCTTTTGGTGGAATACCTACCTTCAAGCCAGAGCTATACTTTTTATCTGCCAATGGATATCCTCAGTCTTCCAGACTGAATGATGGCCAGTGTCAATTGTGGGGTGGGGGGGGGGTGTCACCCTCCTAGTTAGTTTGCTAGAATCTAATCGTTAGAGACGAGGGCTGAGTAGAAGCCTGGGAGTAATAGTCAGGAGGTCAAATTGTTGTCTGGATCTGAGAGGCTCTGCAGGCCAGCCCCTCTGGAATGTCCCCTTGCTCTAGAGCTTTGGAGGAAGGACTAGAGACAGTGGGTGGATCTGGAGAGTGGCTGGCCGGAATTCTTGAAGGATCCTAACCAATCCCCAATAGGAGGCTTGGAAAGGGACTGAGACAACCTTTAAGAGTTTCTTAGACTGCTCAACTGCAGGAGAGTTCGGGTGGAAAGCAGTGAGGGAGAAGTGAAGCTGAAGGCAGGAGCCTGGCATTGAGCGCAGATGGAAAGAGGGGCTCACCTAAAGGCAATGGAGCTGTAAAGGAGGAAAGCTCAGGACTTCACTGGCCTGCAGAGCTCTAGAGCTTTGGAGGAAGGCCTAGAGACAGTGGGTGGATCTGGAGAGTGGCTGGCCTGAATTCTTGAAGGATCCTAACCAATCCCCAACAAGAGGCTTGGATTGAGACAACCTTTAAGAGTTTCTGAGACTGCTCAGCTGCAGGAAAGTTCAGGTGTAAAGCAGTGAGGGAGAAGTGAAGCTGAAGGCAGGAGCCTGGGATTGAGCCCAAATGGAATGAGGGGCTCACCTAAAAGCAGTGGAGCTGTAAAGGAGGAAAGCTCAGGACTTCACTGGCCCGCAGAGTTCTAGAGCTTTGGAGGAAGGCCTTGAGACAGTGGGTGGATCTGGAGAGTGGCTGGCCTGAATTCTTGAAGGATCCTAACCAATCCCCAACAAGAGGCTTGGATTGAGACAACCTTTAAGAGTTTCTGAGACTGCTCAGCTGCAGGAGAGTTCGGGTGGAAAGCAGTGAGAGGGAGAAGTGAAGCTGAAGGCAGGAGCGTGGGATTGAGCCCAGATGGAATGAGGGGCTCACCTAAAGGCAGTGGAGCTGGAAAGGAGGAAAGCTCAGGACTTCATTGGCCTGCAGAGCGAGGACCACCTGTGCAGCAGGGAAGGAGTGGCCCAGCTAAAAAGCCTGGTAGCACCCACCAACGGTACAGGAAAGGACCTGATTGACTACCTATGCACCCCCTGGGTGGATAGGAGAAGGAGCACTCTGGTGGGAAACCAGATTCGCTACCTACATGGGACTGCCCATTTCTTAAAGTAACAGGCACCAAATCCCCTGTTCAGGGATACCTCCAGATTGCTGGGTGAAGGAAAAGGAGTTCATCTAGGACCTGGGGTGGTACATTATGGAGATGCTGGCTAGCTCTCCAACAGAGACTGTGTTGCAGTGAAGGCTTGTAAATAGTTCCAGGAAGTTGTCCTCACATTTATTATGAATGGGCTGCCAACGTACCACAATGGATGACAAAACATGTATGAACCTTTATCGAAATTAAGCGAATCACAAGGCACCAGTATATGCGCCGCGGCGCACCATTTACAATGAATGCAGCGCAACCCACTGCACATAGGGCATTGCCACAAGTGTGAATGGGCCCCGGTGTTATGGGGTTGGTTTTATTTTTTTTTCGTTTATAATGTAACCTTTTAAATACTTTATAATCTTTTTGCGTGATGCATTTCGTAACGCCGTTCTCTCTAAATGTCTCCATTACAGGTCATGATGACAAAGACACGATCTGCCAATGTTTCCATAATTTCTTCTTCGATGACTCAGAAAAAATGTGTCGCCCGTGTTCGCAGTAAGTATAAAAATTTCACCAATCTCAGTTTGTACGCGGTGGTATCAAAAAAGTTTTGGTTTTGTAACATGCCAACAGATGTCAGCAATAGGTTGTGCACACAGTCACAGGGAGCACCGACCTTCATAAGTCAGTGTGCCAAAAGACATCGTCCTGCGTACATCGGGAGCTGTGCAGCTGGCGCTATTCTGACCACGTGCGTTACCACGACTGCTATTTCATCATGGACAGCAAGTTAGAACAAAGAGCAAACATGAAATTCTGCGTGACACTGGGCAAGTCGCTAGCTCTCCGCAATGTTGTCAAAATGGCGACCTATGAGCTGGATCTTCAACTTTGGGTAGAGCATTTTTGGAAGTTGAGCTCTTTGAAGGTCCTCCTGATCTCTTGTCATCTTCCAGTGATGTTTTTCCGCTCTTGAAGCATGTGGGCCACTCAAATCACCTCAAACGACTCATTGCAGCATCACCGTAATGCCGAATCATGTCAAAGCAGGAAAAACCTGGCAGGGGTTCAAATTACTCGCCACTCTATCCAAAACTAAGAAAAAAAAAAGTTTTGATTTTAGTTATACTTTAATGACTGGATCCTGGCAGCTCTGCCATAATACAGGGGTCCTCTCCAGGGGTCAGTGGCCTCCAAAATGAGAAATCCAAAAAGGTTTGCCCAGTTTCACGCAGAATGTCACCTTTGCTCTTTGTTCTAACTTGCTGTCCATGGTGAAATAGCAGGCGTGGTAACGCACGTGGTCAGGATAACACCAGTTGCACAGCTCCCGATGTACACAGGACGATGTCTTTTGGCACACTGACTTATAAAGGTCGGTGCTCCCTGTGACTGTGTGTGCAGCCTTGTGCTACCATCTGTTGGCGTGTTACAAAACTAGTTTGGAAACGATTTGATACCGCCTCGTAATTCCAGGCCAATAGCAAAGACTACTAAAATGACCTCAGTCAGACTCCTCCCACAAAAAATGATGGGAGACTCTTGCGGTCGTGTCCATGAGTCCTAATAACCGAATTGAACGTTTAGTGTAAATCACCTAAATACATTTCAAGCTCATAAAACAAAAGGTGGGCAAAGCCTTAGAGTTGGTTTTCTTTAGAAAGTAGCCACAGCCCTGAGTAGAAAAGCCTGTCCCCTGCCAGCATGCTGCAGAGAAGAACCATTTCCTATTGTATGGAATCACAAAGAACTTTAATCACACACTTCTGTTTTGGTGCATCTGGGATTCATTTATTGGTCTTAAACTGAACAGCCAGTTGGACTTTAAGACATGTGTGGTCCATGGAAGCATCTTCCAGGGTCCCAGGAAACAGTTCCACTTCCATGCCCCGGGTCCCGGGAAACAGTTCCACTTCCATGCCCCGGGTCCCGGGAAACAGTTCCACTTCCATGCCCCGGGTCCCGGGAAACAGTTCCACTTCCATGCCCCAGGTCCTGGGAAACAGTTCCACTTCCATGCCCCAGGTCCCGGGAAACAGTTCCACTTCCATGCCCCGGGTCCCGGGAAACAGTTCCACTTCCATGCCCCGGGTCCCGGGAAACAGTTCCACTTCCATGCCCCAGGTCCCGGGAAACAGTTCCACTTCCATGCCCCGGGTCCCGGGAAACAGTTCCACTTCCATGCCCCGGGTCCCGGGAAACAGTTCCACTTCCATGCCTCGCGTCCCGGGAAACAGTTTTACTTCCATGCCCCGGGTCCCACAAAACAGTTCCACTTCCATGCCCCGGGTCCTGGGAAACGGTTCCACATCCATGCCCCAGGTCCAGGGAAACAGTTCCACTTCCATGCCCCAGGTCCTGGGAAACAGTTCCACTTCCATGCCCCGGGTCCCGGGAAACAGTTCCACTTCCATGCCCCGGGTCCCGGGAAACAGTTCCACTTTTATGCCCCGGGTCCAGGGAAACAGTTCCACTTCCATGCCCCGGGTCCTGGGAAACAGTTCCACTTCCATGCCCCGGGTCCCGGGAAACGGTTCCACTTCCATGCCCCAGGTCCCGGGAAACGGTTCCACTTGCATGCCCCGGGTCCCGGGAAACGGTTCCACTTCCATGCCCCGGGAAACGGTTCCACTTCCATGCCCCGGGTCCTGGAAAACGGTTCCACTTCCATGCCCCAACAGTAAAAAAAAAATAAAAATACTAACAATAAAAGTATAGAAGTGGAATATATGTAACAAAGTACTGAACGGGGCTTGGTGTCAATGTGGGGGGATGGGGGTTCTGGAGCGAGTTAAGGTACTCTGCAGCAGGCTTGGTGGTCCTGAAGGGGGCTTGGGGGGGGGGTCTCTCCAAGTGACTGAGGACTTTGCAGGGGTGCTTTGAGAGACTGGAGGGTGCATAATGAGAAGTTGGGGGGCAGTTGGAGGTTGGGAGCACTATGGGGAGGGGGCTAATGGCTCTGCAGTACGCTGGTGAGTGGGAGCACTGTAGAAGGCTTGATGCCACTGAGGGAGGTTGAAAAGCACTGGGGGAGAGGGAATATGATCATTGCCCCCCAATGTCATGTTTCAGGGTGGCTCCTTTCTCTAGAAGGGTCCCATAGGGCCACTCTTGCATGCAAAGACTACAGTTGTGTCTCCCTAGACTGTGTGCATCTATAGAAACACACAGCCCCAGTCTAGGATGGCAAGGTACTCACCTGCTTCTCCCTCTTCCCCCAAGTTAACAGACTGGCTGTAGGCTGCCAGAAGACCAGAAGTCCAGAGAAGCAGCACTGAGAGAGCAGGAGCGAGCATTATTTAAAGCTGTAAACTGCACGTGCTGGGGAAAGCATTTATTTCACGGGGGAATATATATTCTACTGTGCTCATTGTGTTAGGCTACAAGATGCTGACAGCTTCATGCTACTTTAAATGTGGTAGCTGCATTAGTTATCTTTTTTTTGTATTGTCTAGGATCATGTTTACTGTGTTTGTATGTAAAGATGTGTAATAATATTTTAATCATGATTTATACCCGTAGGTGTCAAGGACCGGAGTGTCAGGATCACTGTCCTGATCCTGAGGCAGCCCAGCGTCCTGAAGGTTAGAAATGTTCCTGGAATGTTGTTATACATTATATCACTTGCAATTTATGTTACATAACAAAAGATAAATCAAAATTGCAGCGCTAATCAAAAACATAAAAAACATAAAGTCCAATTAATGAAAAAAAATTCCACTTGAAAATGTGCCAATTGAAGTTCCCACGATCCACCATCACCAGAACAGCCGAATGGTTCAGCCTCTTACCAGAAATTCTGACCGAAACCCACCACCCGTCAATATAGGCAACTCAAATGGGGGGTGAATGTGTGCAGATCATGGAACTGGCAATCCTCATCAAGATAGAGTTCAATCTTCCTCTCAAAAGATCTAAACAGGTCCTCATTCCTGGCTCTCCTCTCCTTTTCGATGCCCTGGGTTGTGGGCAGGGGCAGACTGACAACTCATGGGGCCCCCGGGCAATAGGGGATCATGGGGCCCCTGTGTCCTTGCCCAAACTCAAAAAATCCTATGAAAAAAGGTATTGGGCATCTCATGGGGCCCCCTACTGACCCCGGGCCCTCGGGAAGTGCCCAAGTTTCCAAATGGTCAGTCCGCCCCTGGTTGTGGTTGACCTCCTCATATTCAGTGTAGGACTGGAGCAAGATGATGTCAAAGTGCAACCAATGGCCAGAGTGTTGAAGACGAAGGACTTCAGGGGACCGTTCATACAGCCTGCCAAAAGCCCTTTTACCGAACTACCTTTTTGGAAGTGTTCTAGGAGAAGGTATCATGGCAGACTGGAAAAACCTTTCAGAATTGCTTCCAGTCTGCCATGATACCTTCTCCTAGAACACATCCAAAAAAGGTAGTTCGGTAAAAGGGCTTTTGGCAGGCTGTGTGAACGGTCCCCTGAAGTCCTTCGTCTTCAACACTCTGGCCATTGGTTGCACTTTGACATCATCTTGCTCAAAGGATCAGTCCTACACTGAATGTGAGGAGGTCACCCACAACCCAGGGCATCAGAGAGGAGAGCCAGGAATGAGGACCTGTTTAGATCTTTTGAGAATGAAGATTGAACTCTATCTTGATGAGGATTGCCAGTTCCATGATCTGCACACATTCATCCCCCATTTGAGTTGCCTATATTGACGGTTGGTGTGTTTCGGTCAGAATTTCTGGTAAGAGGCTGAACCATTCGGGTGTTCTGGTGATGGTGGATCGTGGGAACTTCAATTGGCACATTTTAAACTGGAATTTTATTTTATTAATTGGACTTTATGTTTTTAATGTTTTTGATTAGCGCTGCAATTTTGATTTATTTTCTGTTATGTATATTGCCTGATATGCGAGCTGCTTTTCTCTGATTTTTATTTCATGTTCTGTAGTCACATGATTAGTGTAGTTACCGAAGCGCAGGTTAATTGTTTTTAATTTCTGTTACATATTGTATAGTTACATAGTCATTTTGATTTTACATATTATAGTTACATAGTAGTTTTTATGTTACATATTACATAGCTACATAGTAATTTTTTATGTTACATATTACATAGCTACATAGTAATTTTTTATGTTGCATATTATGTAGCTACATAGCAATTCTTTGTGTTACATATTCCTTACTGTAGCTATATAGTATTTGTTGTACTATATATTACATAGTTTTTTTTTATATTACATAGTTACATAGTAATTTTTATGTTATATATTACATAGCTACATAGTATTTTTTTTATATTACATAGCTACATAGTAATTTTTTATATTACATAGCTACATAGTATATTACATAGCTACATAGTATTTTTTTTATATTACATAGCTACATAGTAATTATTTATGTTGCATATTATGTAGCTACATAGTAATTCTTTGTGTTACATGTTACATGTAGCTATATAGTACATACTGTATATTAGCTACATAGTATTTTTTATATTACATAGTTACACAGTAATTTTTTATGTACATATACATAGCTACATAGTAATTTTTTATGTTGCATATTATGTAGCTACATAGCAATTCTTTGTGTTAAATATTCTTACTGTAGCAATATAGTATTTTTATACTGTTTACATAGCTACATAGTTATTACATAGCTACATAGTAATATTTTATATTACATAGCTACATAGTATTTTTTTATATTACATAGTTACATAGTAATTCTTTCTGTTACATATTACATAGCTACATATATAATATTACATAGTACATAGTATTTTTTTTATATTACATAGTTACATAGTAATTTTTTTGTTACATATTACATAGCTACATAGTATTTTTTTTATATTACATAGTTACATAGTAATTTTTTGTTACATATTACATAGCTACATAGTATTTTTTTTTTTATATTTACATAGCTACATAGTAATTTTTTATGTTGCATATTATGTAGCTACATAGCAATTCTTTGTGTTAAATATTCTTTACTGTAGCTATATAGTATTTGTTATACTGCATATTACATAGCTACATAGTTTTTTTTATATTACATAGCTACATAGTAATTTTTTATATTACATAGCTACATAGTATTTTTTTTTTTTTATATTACATAGTTACATAGTAATTTTTTGTTACATATTACATAGCTACATAGTATTTTTTTTTATAATTTACATAGCTACATAGTATTTTTTTTATATATTACATAGCTACATAGTAATTTTTATGTTACATATTACATAGCTACATAGTATTTTTTTTATATTACATAGCTACATAGTAATTTTTTATTTGCATATTACATAGCTACATAGTAATTTTTGTGTTACATATTCCTTACTGTAGCTATATAGTATTTTTTATACTGTATATTACATAGCTACATAGTATTTTTTTTATATTACATAGTTACATAGTAATTTTTATGTTACATATTACATAGCTACATAGTATTTTTTTTATATTACATAGTTACATAGTAATTTTTATGTTACATATTACATAGCTACATAGTATTTTTTTTTTTATATTACATAGCTACATAGTAATTTTTTATGTTGCATATTATGTAGCTACATAGCAATTCTTTGTGTTACATATTCCTTACTGTAGCTACATAGTATTGTTTATGTTATACTGTATATTACATAGTTACATAGTAATTTTTATGTTACATATTACATAGCTACATATTAATTTATGCTACATATCGCATAGAACATAATTATTTTTATGTTGCATAGCTACATAGTTTTTTTTTTTTTATGTTACATATTACACAATTACATAGTGATTTTTGTGTGGTGTAGATATAGGAAGAGATCGGCAATATGAGGGTTTTTCACACCTAAGATCATTTCAATCTATTTTTTTATTTTATTTTAGAAAGTAAAGGCGTTTTATGGGTCGCTGTTGGTGCAGTCGCCGTGGTGGTTGTGGTGGTGGTAGCCTGTGCTTTATATGTGTACTATACCAGAAGACATCCTCATCCCCAAGCACACCTTCTGGTAAGTTGAAGACATTTAAAGGGAACATCCAATTGTGACTCTAGGTCCCTGGTGCCCAACCTGTGGCCGAAGGGCTGCATGTGGCCCTTTTGCCTTTTTGGTGCAATCCTCAGTCCCCTTCAGACACTAATCTTTGTTTCCTTATTGCCCTGTTGTGGCATTGATTTTTTGGAGTTTCATGTAATAGGTTTCCAGTCTATGAATGTCTCCTGAAGCATGTCCACAATCTCCCAACAACTCCTAAACATGTTCACAGCTTCTAGAAGTCTTCTGTATCATGTCTGCAGTCTCCGACCACCTCCTGTATCATGTCCACAGTCTCTGACCACCTCCTGTATCATGTCCACAGTCTCTGACCACCTCCTGTACATGTCCACAGTCTCCGACCACCTCCTGTATCATGTCCACAGTCTCCGACCACCTCCTGTATCATGTCCACAGTCTCTGACCACCTCCTGTATCTGTCCACAGTCTCCGACCACCTCCTGTATCATGTCCACAGTCTCTGTACATGTCCACTCCCACCTCCTGTATCAGTCCAGACCAACTGTGTATCAGAGATGTTCAAACTGTAGACATGATACAAGAGATGGTCAGAGACTGCGGACACAATACAAGAGATAATCAGAGACTGCAGACATGATACAGGAGATGGTCAGAGGGTGCGGACATAATACAAGAGATAATCAGAGACTGCAGACATGATATAAGAGATAATTAGAGACTGCAGCCATAATAGAAGAGATAATCAGAGACTGCAGACATGATACAAGAGATAATCAGAGACTGCAGACATGATACAAGAGATAATCAGAGACTGCAGACATGATACAAAAGATGGTCAGAGACTGCGGACATGATACAAGAGATAATCAGAGACTGCGGACATGATATAAGAGATAATCAGAGACTGTGGATATGATACAAGAGATAATCAGAGACTGTGGATATGATACAAGAGATAATCAGAGACTGCGGACATGATACAAGAGATGATACAAGAGATAATCAGAGACTGTGGACATGATACAAGAGATAATCAGAGACTGCGGCCATAATACAAGAGATAATCAGAGACTGCGGACATGATACCAGAGATAATCAGAGACTGTGGACATGATACCAGAGATAATCAGAGACTGTGGACATGATACAAGAGATAATCAGAGACTGCGGACATGATACCAGAGATAATCAGAGACTGTGACATGATACCAGAGATAATCAGAGACTGTGGACATGATACAAGAGATAATCAGAGACTGCGGACATGATACCAGAGATAATCAGAGACTACGACATGATACCAGAGATAATCAGAGACTACAGACATGATACAAGAGATAATCAGAGACTACAGACATGATACCAGAGATAATCAGAGACTGCGGCCATAATACAAGAGATAACCAGAGACTGCAGACATGATACCAGAGATAATCAGAGACTACAGACATGATACAAGAGATAATCAGAGACTACAGACATGATACAAGAGATAATCAGAGATTGCGGCCATAATACAAGAGATAATCAGAGACTACAGGCATAATACAAGAGATAATCAGAGACTACAGACATGATACAAGAGATAATCAGAGACTACAGACATGATACAAGAGATAATCAGAGACTACAGACATGATACAAGAGATAATCAGAGACTGCGGCCATAATACAAGAGATAATCAGAGACTACAGACATGATACAAGAGATAATCAGAGACTACAGACATGATACCAGAGATAGCCAGAGACTGCGGATATGATACAAGAGATGGTCAGAGACTGCGGACATGATACAGGAGATGGTCAGACATAAACGTCAAGCACTAAACTCGGCTAGCGTTTACACACAATTAGCATTTTTTGCCCAAAACGTTCCTGAATCGCGTTCAGAAGAGGAACTTTTAACGGCCCCTAAACTCTGATAAAAGCCTGTATGTATATGGACACATAGGCTTTTATTGAGTTGAGTTCAGGGGCTCTGGCAAACAAAAATGCCAAAACGTCCTAAACTCATGTTTAGGATCAGCAGTGTACACGGGGCCTTAAAAATTAAAATGGCGGCTGGAATACTCTGGGTGCTGCCCTCTGTAGACTCCCCCGGTCATCCATCCAGTGCCACCCGTATCCGTGGCTGAACGATGCCCAGCGCCATTCAGCCCTCTTCCTGTGAGAGATGTGTGTTAAGTTTGATGTGACTATGAGGCAAAGCAGTGAACAGCATTCTCTGGCTGTATTGGAGATTTTAAGTGGGGGGCAGTAAAATTACATGGTTTTTATAGGACGCCACCAGGGGCGGACTGACCATTTGGAAACTCGGGCACTGACGGGGGGCCCGGGTTCAGTAGGGGCCCCATGAGATGCCCCTGGAACCTTTTTCATAGGCTTTTTTGAGTTTGGGCAAGGGACACAGGGGGTGCCCATGATCCACATATTGCCCGGGGGCCCCATGAGTTGTCAGTCCACCCCTGGACGCCACCCATGTGAAAGAGGTCTTAAAGCGAACCTGTCACTTTGCCCAGTATGGCCAAAATAGAGATCCACTGGGCCGACATATTGGTCTTTTTCCTTGTAATGTGCTTCCTTAGCTCTTCTAATGCTCTTTTCTTCATTCCATTGCAGATATATGTCGAGCAACTTCTCTCTTTGTAAGTATTACATTTATATTGCGGGTGTCAGACGTAGGGGGCTGAAAACAAATGATGTTACGATGACAAACACAATGCTGAACGGTGGTTTAATTCGTAAATATTATTTCAGGATCACGATAAAGACAGCAATCAAAACCACAAAGTAATCAAAGAAGATGATATCTATATAGTGCAAGATTCTACACAAACTGCCATTAATGAATGGATTCCTTCCATTGCCAGACATTACAAATGTACCAGCTCCTCCAAGTCTGAACAGTAAGTAAAAATTCCTCAGGACCTCCGCCTCCCCCCGTGAATGTTGGGTGTCGTTAGACCCCATATGGTGAGATCTCATTTTGTCTCTTCATTGGTGGGATATTGCTGCTAAGATTACCAGCTGTAGATAGCAACCATGGCAAAGTCAATCAGCTGATGGTCCTCCAATGGACTCTACATAATATATTGTATACTCTGGGCAGTCTTAATGCATGGTCACTGCCCAGGAGCCTGGGGGCCCCATGATAACTTTGCATTACTTCATGCTTGCCTACTGTCCAGGATTTTCCGGGACAGCTACCCTTTTTACTAAGCTGTCCCGTGATGGCCAGTATTAGTCTTTGATTTCTACCACATTTTCTTATTGTTTAACCACCTCCCGTCCGGCCGTTGTATATAAACGGCCAGACGGTGGCAGTGCAGGGTCGGGGGGCTGTTTATAAATAGCCTCCCCGCTCCCTGCTTGTGCACGCTCCCTGGGAGTGCACAGCACCGCGATCCGGTGCCCGCTGTGTCCTCCAGACACAGTGGAACACCGATCGTCGTACGGGACCTCTCTACGAGGTCCCGATCATGTGATCACTGATTGGCCAATCAGTGATCACATGCAGAGTAGTAAGCAAGATGTCACTTCTGACATCATTGCTTACTACGTGTGAAACCTGTGAATGATCACAGAGGTCACATGGTGCAAGGCTATTCACAACAGCCTTGTACCATGTGACAAGCTGTGGCCAATCACAGCTCTCACAGTAGTTCTCCATGGCTGCAAGAATGCAGCCAGACAGAAGGAAAAATGATTGCTTTTACAGCCTTTATGGGTGTAAAAGCAATCAGTGTAAAAAAAAAAAAAAAATCACCCCTCACCATGGTGACACTGTACTGCTAGGGTGAAAGTATGTAAAAAAAAACAAAAAACAAATAATAGTATATAAAAAAATAAAATAAAAATAAAAAAATGTTTAAAAATTATAATTTTTGGTTATAAACTAATTTGGATTATTGTTTTTTTTTTACTAAAAAGATAACTGAATAAATTTTGGCCACGATTTATGATGAAATATTATTTATTTGCAAAATTTTATAAGAAAAACACTTTTTTTCAACATTTGTTGGACTTTTTCATTTACATAGCAAAAAAAAAAAATCTCAGTGGTGAATAAATACCAACAAAATAAAGCTTTATCTGTTTCAAAAAAACGCTAAAAAATTCATATGGGTACAGTGTTGCATGACTGCGCAATTGTCATTCAAAGTGTGACAGCGCTGAAAGCTGAAAATTGGCCTGGACAGGAAAGGGGGTGAAAGTGTCCGGACTGGAAGGGGGTGAAAGTGTCCGGACTGAAAGGGGGGTGAAAGTGTCCGGACAGGAAGGGGGGTGAAAGTGTCCGGACTGGAAGGGGGTGAAAGTGTCCGGACTGGAAGGGGTGAAAGTGTCCGGACTGGAAGGGGGTGAAAGTGTCCGGACTGGAAGGGGGTGAAAGTGTCCGGACTGGAAGGGGGTGAAAGTGTCCGGACACTGGAAGGGGGTGAAAGTGTCCGGACTGGAAGGGGGTGAAAGTGTCCGGACTGGAAGGGGGTGAAAGTGTCCGGACTGGAAGGGGTGAAAGTGTCCGGACTGGGAGGAGGTGAAAGTGTCCGGACTGGGAAGGGGGGGAAAGTGTCCGGACTGGAAGGGGGTGAAAGTGTCCGGACTGGAAGGGGGGGAAAGTGTCCGGACTGGGAAGGGGGGGAAAGTGTCCGGACTGGAAGGGGGTGAAAGTGTCCGGACTGGAAGGGGGTGAAAGTGTCCGGACTGGAAGGGGGGAAAGTGTCCGGACTGGAAGGGGGGGAAAGTGTCCGGACTGGAAGGGGGGGAAAGTGTCCGGACTGGGAAGGGGGGGAAAGTGTCCGGACTGGGAAGGGGGGGAAAGTGTCCGGACTGGGAAGGGGGGGAAAGTTTCTGGACTGAAAGGGGGGGAAAGTGTCCGGACTGAAAGGGGGGGAAAGTGTCCGGACTGGAAGCGGGTGAAAGTGTCCGGACTGGAAGCGGGTGAAAGTGTCCGGACTGGAAGGGGTGAAAGTGTCCGGACTGGGAAGGGTGAAAGTGTCCGGACTGGGAAGGGGGGGGGGGGGAGTGTCCGGACTGGGAAGGGGGGGGAAAGTGTCCGGACTGGGAAGGGGGGGAAAGTGTCCGGACTGGGAAGGGGGGGAAAAGTGTGTCCGGACTGGGAAGGGGGGGAAAGTGTCCGGACTGGGAAGGGGGGGAAAGTGTCCGGACTGGGAAGGGTGGGAAAGTGTCCGGACTGAAAGTGAAAGGGGGTGAAAGTCTCCGGACAGGAAGGGGGAAAAGTGTCCGGACTGGAAAGGGGGGTGAAAGTGTCCGGACTGAAAGGGGGGAAAGTGTCCGGACTGGGAAGGGGGGAAAAGTGTCCGGACTGGGAAGGGGGGAAAAAGTGTCCGGACTGGGAAGGGGGGGAAAGTGTCCGGACTGGGAAGGGGGGGAAAGTGTCCGGACTGGGAAGGGGTGGAAAGTGTCCGGACTGGAAGTGGTTAAACATTTTTTAAAAGTACCTAAAGCGGAGTTCCAGCAAAAAATAAAAAATAAAATAAAAAAGTCAGCACCTAAAAAAAACTGTAGCTGCTGACTTTTAAAAAAATGGACACTTACCTGTCCCTCGATCCCATGGTGTCCCCCCCCCACAGCCCGTTTCACTGGCTGCCCTGGGTTCCCGGCACCAGCATCTTTAGTGTGGTCACCCAGCAGTGACAGCTTGCTGCTTCACAGCCGGGTGCTCACTGCGCATGCGTTGTGCTGCACTGTGTGAATGGTCCCATCTTTTCACTTGATACAAGGACATTTTATGACATAAAGCTCACTAGCATGGAAGGATACACAAAGTATTATTATTTGTGAATAGCTGCACTTATTGCAGAATGTGAAATAGGATTGTAATATTTCAATTTTTCTTCTTTCCTTAGCCCCGACAGTGATGTATGCCATTATTGACAGCATTCCATTGCGCCGCTGGGGTGAGTTTGTCCGGCGCCTGGGCCTGAGCGACCACATCATTGAAACCTCTGAGAAAGACTACAGACATTACAGCGACGCTCAGTACGCAATGCTGCAGGTCTGGGTGACGCGGGAGGGCTACCCCACCACCAAAACGGGACCAGCTGTTTAAAGTTCTACGAGAAATTAACTTGGGGGGGTGTATAGATAAAATTGAGGAGCATTTGTGACATCCTTGGATGTTTTGTATTAAAGAACTTCGAGTAACATGGAATCACTTTATATTAGCGTAGTTCTGCTAAATCTTCATTTGTGCCTTGGCCCTATTGAACACATGAAGTCATGGACAAAGTTCTCTTGGAATGCAAGCCATACTGCTCAATAGTTTGTTACGTGCCTCTCTAAGTGAAGGTGGCCAGTTCTTCCCACCAAGGTGGATGATTGTCACCTATAATGATTTGGACAGATATTCTTCTGCACGTGATTCACTAAAAGCCACCTCTTTCCAGCCAAGTCAAGTTTTAGGTTTTTTGACCCAAGCCTGTGGTGGCAGGTGGCATCAGATTTGGGGTGAGCTTGGCTGGTGCCTGAACCTGAGCAACTACATCATCAAAACCTCTAAGAAAAACTACAGACATTACAGTGATGCTCAATATGCAATGGTACAGGTCTGATTAACACAAGAGGGCTGCCCTACCACCAGACCGGACCAGCTGTTCAATGTGCTGCGGGAAATTAACTTGGGGGGGGGGGGGTGTGTATATATAAAGTTGAGATGCATTTGTGACAGTCTTATGTTAAGCTTATGGTGGCAGGTGGCATCAAACTTGCCAAAAAAATCTTGGGTCCTTTATTAGCACCATAGTTAGTTGGGCCACAACTGAAACTTCAGTTCTCGGAAGAGGCTGGAGAAACAAAACACGTTTCTTTTGTCTTGGTGATGCACCTACACTTGGGTTTTCAGGCCTGCACACCAGATATGGCTATAATGAAGGGCCTTAAAATGAGTAGGTTTCGCTGGAATAATTACTTTCTCTCCATCATTGTCACTTGTAGACTTTCTGCTCTGTGGTCCAGGGTCAGTGATCTTCAAGGTTGAATGGCACCCAATGTCATCAACCTCACTTTGGTCAGGGGCCAATGCTCTTCAAGGCTGGTGTATGTCATCAACCCCACGGTGGTCAGGGACTAATGCTCTTCAAGGTTGAATGGTGTCCAACGTCATCAACCCCACTGTGGTTGGGGGCCAGTGCTCTTCAAGACTGAATGATGTCCAATGTCATCAACCCCACGGTGGTCAGGGGCCAATGCTCTTCAAGGCTGAGTGGTGCCCAACGTCATCAACCTCACTGTGGTAGGGAGGCAATGCTCTTCAAGGCTGAATGGTGTCCAACATCATCATCCCCATGGTGGTCAGGGGCTAATGCTCTTCAAGGTTAAATAGTGTACAACGTCATCAACCCCACTGTGGTTGGGGGTCAGTGCTCTTCAAGATTGAATGATGCCCAATGTCATCAACCCCACTGTAGTTGGGGGCCAGTGCTCTTCAAGATTGAATGATGCCTAATGTCATCAACCCCACCATGGTTGGGGGCCAGTGCTCTTCAAGACTGAATGATTCCCAATGTCATCAACCCCACTGTGGTTGGGGGCCAGTGCTCTTCAAGACTGAATGATGCCCAATGTCATCAACCCCACTGTGGTTAGGGGTCAGTGCTCTTTCAAGATTGAATGATGCCCAATGTCATCAACCCTACTGTGGCCCAGGGTCAATGCTCTGCAAGGTTGACTGGCGCCCAATATCATTAACCCCACTGTGAGCCCATTATTTTGGCCTGTGCTTACAGTGCTGTACAACAGAGAATGGTAATGAGTTCAAAAGGAATATAGTCCACCTGCTGGAACAGACGAAGGACCCCAATTTGTCACATGACTGTCAAGAGAACAGATGAATTTTTGTATATTTTGAAATAGGTGTGGGGGAAAGAAAGGAATGAATGTGGGGGGATGAAATTAAATTGGGCTTTATTTATTTTATCAATATAGAGATTGTAATAGGAACCCCCGGAAAACTCTATTGTGGGCAGGAACATTGAAAGGAGAAGAGTAGGAACTCCCAAAATTTAATGTGGACAGGAACATAGCAAGGAACTGTAGCAGGCTATTCTCACTGTTGATAATCCAAAAGGTGACCCACCTTACCAAACTCAAAAAAAGTTTTTCCTGAATGGACTGACCCTTTATATTTGAACCTGCTTGCCTGGCATTGAGGGAGGTGTAGCATATACTAGGTGGCCAGGTAGACAGTAGTACCTATGTCTGTCAATAAAGGTTCAATCCACACTGCAGCAAGTAGTGTGAGAAGATTCAAATGGTTCCCATCAGGTATCACAGGTACCTTCACAGCGACCAATCTCTATGCAAAGATACTGTTTCCATAGGACATTTTTATTTCAGTCTCACGCTATAAAAGGTGGCTGGACATTCAATGAGATGTTACATTTTTTGGGCAGAAACCAACCTCTATATCAGAAGTACTAAACAGTGGCCATCTTGAAATGCAGATGATCAAGAATAAATATTTTATTCCTTACTTCGTAGTTGAGCACAAATAAGGCCATATGAGCTGCCAATGTGAGTGAACAAGAACGGTATGCAATGACACATAACTAGGCAACATGGTGGCCAAGTGCTTCCCACTCTTGGCCTACTACACAGGAGATCTGGGATCAAGCCCTGTTGACACACCATATGTATGGAGCCTGTTTTAGTTCCCTCTGGGTTCTCCAGTTTCCATCCATAAAAACACGAGTAGGTTAACAGATGGTTCCTAGTTTAAATTTGCTGTGAGGTTGAAAGGCCCTACTTCTACATCAGTGTCTTTCCAAGAAGACCCCATGGATGGTCACAATCAGACATTCTTTCCAAGAAGACTCCATGGATGGTCACAATCAGACATTCTTTCCAAGAAGACCCCAAAGATGGTCACAATCAGACAACCTATCTAAAAGGTCACAACGAGTCAATGGTCCAGGACAAAACATTCTGCTGCTAGTCATGTATCTAAGCTAGACTCGGCCTTCATTTTTAATTGGTAAAGCTAGCCAATAAGCAGAGTAAGAATAGAAAATAAAGTCCTTGGACCTCACGTTTTCCGAAGCTTAGAAAATATTTTGTACATGTTATTTATATTTTGATTTCTTATGCTTAGATTCGGCTATCAATACAAAGTACAGTCGCTCGAGGCCAGCACAATATGGGGGAACACGACGGGCGCAATGGTGTGTTGCAGCCTCGGAGAGTGGTTTGGTAACTGCTTCTAAAGCGTTTGGTGGAGTTGGGCTTTAGGGCCCCGTTCACACTATGCCAATGCAGTGACGTGTTCGTTGAATGGACCCCAACACATCGTGCCAATGAATGCGTGTTGCAGCACACTAATGTGTGTTGAAAAATTGGTGGATGTATGTCCAGTGGAGGGTACATTGGGGTGCCGTTCAGATGAACTTGCACTTTACTGCAATGACATCTTAATCTGCGTTTCATTTAAATGGCACCCCTTGCTTAGGGATGTGCATTGCAGTGCACTGCTGAGAAATTGCGCATGCACATTAGTGCATTGCCACACATTGCAGAGCACTGCAACGCACGTCTGTTGGAAGGCACATTGGGGAGTCATTCAGGATGAATGACACTGCATCACACCAACAAACAGAGTGCCTGGTCGTTGCGTGTGCCATTTTTTGCAGCTCACTCAACATTAGTGGATTGCCACTCCCCCATTGGACTGCATGAACATCCAATGTAAAATACTTTGGGGTGCCATTCATATGAATGTGCGCATTGCCGCAACGGCACGGTAACGCACTTGTCATTTGAGTGACACCTCCACACACCGTGTTGGCGGACGTGCATTGCAATGCAGCACAACGAAAGGCACAGCACTAACGTGCGTTGAGGTGCACTGCCGGAAAACGGTGCATGCCCATTACTGCGTCACCACCCACATTCCTCGCAAGGTGCGCTGTGGGCTGTGGTGTTATCAGAATGAGCCCCACCGCATCACACAAAAATACTTAATGTGGTTTGCCATGCATTGTGGTAAAGTGCGTGGTAATGCACCCGTTAGGCTCCGTTCACACCTATGCATTTTGCATTTGATGCTTTCTCAAGTGCCGTTTGCGGTTTTCTACAACAGTTTGCATTTTATTCAACTTTATTTTTTCTTAACCACTTCCAGTCCGGACACTTTCACCCCCTTCCAGTCCGGACACTTTCCCCCCCTTCCCAGTCCGGACACTTTCACCCCCTTCCAGTCCGGAGACTTTCCCCCCCTTCCAGTCCGGACACTTTCACCCCTTCCAGTCCAGACACTTTCATCCCCTTCCAGTCCGGACACTTTCACCCCCTTCCACTCCCACTTTCATCTTCTTCCAGTCCGGACACTTTCATCCCCTTCCAGTCCGGACACTTTCATCCCCTTCCAGTCCGGACACTTTCATCACCTTCCAGTCCGGACACTTTCATCACCTTCCAGTCCGGACACTTTCCCCCCCTTCCAGTCCGGACACTTTCACCCCTTCCAGTCCGGACACGTTCCCCCCCTTCCAATCCGGACACTTTCACCCCCTTCCAGTCCGGACACTTTCACCCCCTTCCAGTCCGGACACTCTTCCCCCCCTTCCAGTCCGGACACTTTCACACCCTTCCAGTCGAGACACTTTCCCCCCTTCCAGTCCGGACACTTTCCCCCCCTTCCAGTCCGGACACTTTCCCCCCCCCTTCCCCCCTCTTTCAGTCCGGACACTTTCCCCCCCTTCCAGTCCGGACACTTTCCCCCCTTCCAGTCCCGGACCACTTTCCCCCCCCCCTTCCAGTCCGGACACTTTCCCCCCCTTCCAGTCCGGACACTTTCTTTCCCCCCCTTCCAGTCCGGACACTTTCCCCCCCTTCCAGTCCAGACACTTTCCCCCCTTCCAGTCCGGACACTTTCCCCCCCTTCCAGTCCGGACACTTTCCCCCCCCCTTCCAGTCCGGACAATTTCCCCCCCTTCCAGTCCGGACACTTTCCCCCCCTTCCAGTCCGGACACTTTCCCCCCCTTCCAGTCCGGACACTTTCACCCCCTTCCAGTCGGACACTTTCACCCCCTTCCAGTCCGGACACTTTCACTCCCCTTCCAGTCCGGACACTTTCCCCCCCTTCCAGTCCGGACACTTTCACCCCCCTTCCAG